TCCACTGCTGAACACTACTCACTCACTCACTCACTCACTCATTCACCCACCCACCCACCCACTCACTCACTCACTCACTCACTCACTCACTTCATTCCTCTCTTTGTCTAAGATGACCCTATTGAACACAACCTAGCTAAACCCCTGGGTGCACCTACCTCATTGAGTAGAAATTAATTGTAACTGCAAATCTTGTACGCCCCCTTCAACGCAATTTATATCATTTAGAAGGCAGGTGGCTTCGACCGTGCCTGTCAGGCCAACCCAGGCTGAGAGGGATACAGTGTCAAAGAACACAGGTGGAGATACTAGTTAAAAACTCCCCCACTTTGGTAGGCATCGAGCCCATGTCTGCGGCGTGCAACTGCTGAGAGGGTTTTTTTTTTGTTTTGTTTTGTTTTATTCTTTTTTTTTGTTGGTTAAGTGATTTACGGCGCTCGCTAAGTGAGGTCATATGAGCGCGCGGGACACATTAATTTTTTTTCAGCTGGTAGGAAAATTTGAATTTTGCCCGGGTGGCGGCCGAACCCTACTCTTATCGATTTTAGACCACCAAGGGATCTTTAACGTGCGCAACTTGCACACGGGCCCTCCAAGATTGTTCGCCCCTGCTGGGAGTCTAACCACCCCACCATCGAGAGCGATAGTTACCTCATTGAGTTGCTTGATAACAGTGATGTCATTAAGGTCAGGATCCCAGCCGATTCTTTTAGTTCCAGGGATGAGTGCAAAAGTGTCAATCGCGACTTGAGGGGCCACTTTAACAGAAAACGTCATTCGGTAGCTGTAGAAAGAGAAGAATATAACGTCTTTCAGTTTAAGTAGAGGTTTTACGGCGCTCGCAACCGCATACGGTCATATGAGTGCCAGAAGATTAGAGGTGTTACAAGAGAGTAACAAACATAAAAAAGAAGAAGGGGAGATAAGGACGATAGATGTTTCACAGGGAAGAAGAAGCAAACCACACCAGAGCACCCGCCGACCACCCACAATATAACGTCTTTTTACTCACAGCTGTGAAACATTTTGGGCAAGGAATGTTTGCCAAAATAATGTAAAAATAACCTCAAGTAAGGGCACGGAAAAATGTCACGGGTTCTTGTCACCACATCTGAACTACCTATTTTGAAGTGTTTATATTACAAACACACACACACACA